GCGCGTTCCCCTGAGCAGCCCCCGGGAGCACTCGTCGTCCCAGGCATCGATCCAGGCCTCCAGGCCTCCTCCGAGTCTCCTCGTCCCCGCGCGCCCCTCGCGCCCCCTGGCGCCCTCCTGTCCCCTTCCGTCCCTTGTGTCCCCCGCACCAATCCCCCGGACCACCGGGACCCGCGCCCCTCCTGTCCCCTGCCGGGCCTGAGGACTGCCGGGACCGGCGTGCAGCAGGAGGACCAGGGTCGAGCGCGGCACAGCCAGCGCCCACCTCGCCCCGGGAGGGGTTCCGGCCTGCCGGGGCTCTGGGGAGCCCCCCGGGCTCAATACGTGGAGTCGGTCCTCCACAAATCCCCTGTGGGTGTCCTGTCTCTGCGCGAGCCTCTTCATTGTCCGGCCACGCAACGCCCTTTCTGTATTTTTTACACAGGACAATGGAGGAGAAATGTCTTGGGGCAGGGGCGCTAGTGACCCTGGGCTCACAGTGAACTTGGGGACCCAGGCCTGTAGGAGGAAATGACCAGAGCTCCCTACTGGGCCCCGCGGGGAAAGGAGGTGGGAACAGACCCTAGGAAAGGACATCGAGGTTTGGGGGCCAAGGAGTCCCCACCCCCACCCTTTCGGTGGCGTTCTGGTGGGTCACCAGCTGCTGAGATTTGGAGAAAGCTTTCCTGGCACGTCCTCTCCCGTCGCTGTTGTCTACAAGGAGTTTTACTGAAACGCGTGAGCGGAGCACCTCACTTCCTCCCCTGCCCTGGGGTCTACCATCCCAAAGCCTCCGGGAGCTCTGTCTCCTCAAGGGACCCCACGCGGGCTCTCTCCTTTGTAAGAGCTCCGCCCCCCGCTGTACCGCCTGTGTCTGGAGCAGCAAACAGCTGGGCTGCTGAAAGCCAGGGGCCCGCTTGGGAGAGAACAAGAGGGTCTGTGTTCCCACGTGTTCCAGCTCCTCTGGGTGGCACTGCCCAAGACACGAGGGTCTGCCCGCTCTCGACCAGCTGACTGGATATTGTCTTACAGTACCAGGCGAGCCACCTGTGTGTCTCGTACCTATGAGATGGGGGGTGTTCGCAGAGCGGGTAGCAGTCCCCTGTGAGGACAGGCTCTCTTTGGTGGCAGGGCAGAAGACAGACACCCATTGACCTCAGCGCTTGGCAGGCCGCACTGCGGGACAGCGCGAGGTGCAGTTAGATGAATGGGCGCCTGACACCGTGCCTGTGTGCGCCAGCGTCTCACCCGGCGGAGAGTACAACTCGGGGTCAAGCGAGGAAATGTGGGGTGGCTAAGCCGCGCTCCGGGGGGGCGGGGGTCGCACCGGCCGAAAGCCAGGGCACAGCTGCGCCCCGCCTCCGCCCCCGGCACGGTCCTGAGCCTTTGAAGCACATAGCCCTGTCCCATCCCCATCTGACAGTTGAGGAAACTGAGGCACACAAGATTATGCAGCGGCTCATGGGGAGCCCAAGCGTGGGCCCACACAGCGGCGCAGAGCCGCCCCCGCTGCGGTGGACGGGCTTAAATCCTTCCGCGAGACCCCGGCCCCGGTGTGTCCACTTTTTCTAAGGGACCACGTGCACACCAAAATGCTGGCGGCAATGAGGTTGGGCCTGCTCCACGTTGCACATTTTCTGCATGGCACAGACGTCACTTCGGTGGTCATTTACCTTTTCTTGCCAGAACCTCTTACTTGCATTGTCAGCCTGTGTGCTGTTAAACGGCTGTGTCCATCCCCCACCCCACTCCCCAC